CCCGCCGCCCTGCCCGCCGAGGAGCGCGTGCCTTCCCACCTTCTTGCAGCAGAATTCAGGGCAATTTCTTCCTGTGTTGTTTTTTTAAAAAATATTTTGTATCTCAAGAAAAGCTCATCTTTATTTCCAGAAGAAAAATCAATTTTCGCAGATGTAATTAAAAGTAATCACCCAGATGAGTGAATATTAATTGAGTTAGGAAACCAAAAGTTGCTTTGGAATCAAGAAAAGCATATTATTCTGAACCACTTTTGGAATCCACATAGGTTCAGAACAATAACATACCAAGAAACCAAGAACTGACTGGCGCCTTTAAACTGTGGACACAGGTATACAGATATGTTCATAAGTTAATGAACACCCCCCTTCTGACACGTCAGCATTATAGTTTCAGCTGGCTTTTTAAATTTACGGGCAATTCATTAAATTTTAAACCTTCAGACATTCAAATGTGTTAGAATGAAATGGAGATAGATACTCCTTAAACTATAAAATAATATATTGTGTTCATTTTAATCTTTTGAAGAAAAGCATCAGATTTTTTTTTCCAGGGGTTTTTGTTTACAGAGTATGAAATGTATGTAGATACCTTTATGGTTTTAGCATTGACGCCTCTTTGTTATTTGTGAACTCACTAAAAGGCAGCTCCTCAATGTCGTGGGAACATTCCTTCTCCAGGTACTTATTTCAGGCACCCCAGAGGCATCAGACATCCTGGTGTTAAAAGAGGAGCCTCGCCAAACTTTCTTCCTGGGTTTGTGTCCATATATGTGTTTCTTAAATCTAAATTTTGAGACAAGAACGTGCTATTTCTTTTTCTCTCCCCTCTTTTTAAAAGATGCAGTAGCAAAATATAAAACTCATCTCCCAAGAATTCTACAATGGAAAAGTTAGTTTTTATTTCTGCAGACTTTGTGTAAGCTTGTCTCAAAATGATAGAAATAGCAAGAAATAGTTTCTGTAAGCCCAGCTGTTAGTTTTCAGGAGATGTCTGAGAGGCTGGGTTTGCCTTTGCCTTTTATTTTACACAGCTCAGGGTCACGTGGTTCGTGTGCAGCGTGAACTAGAAGAATGGATGTTCTGTGCATTGGTACATTTCCAGCCACTGATCCTAGTTACACAGTCCATTAAAATTTAGCACCTTAAAAAATTAAATTAACGGAAGAAGACAAGGAAATAACATAGTAAATAAGATAGAAGCTAGTAAATAACATAGTAAATGATAATATTGAATAAATAGTGACGGTGAATAAGAGGTGGGCTGGGATTTCTTGTTTTAGGCCAAAACATAATACAATGTTTATATAAAAGTAGATGAAGAATATGAAACATGAAAAAGGAGGTCATTTTAGAAGTTAATTTGCATATTTTGCAATCTTCGAGCCAGCCGTTAGGGCATATTCCATAGCGCTAAAGAAGAAAACTCAGCTTAATGCGCCTTTGTCTTGTTTGAACAATACTTTTCTCTGTCAAGACTATTCAGTCCTTTCCCCCCTCAGTCTATTCCATTTTGGAATAGAGACTGGAAAGGGGGAAACTTTGGCCTACCCTTTGGTTTCTACAAGCAGTTCCTACACAAAACTTTGGTAAACTTTGTAGGTGGTAAATTCACTTTGGAAGGTCAATAGCAATGGAAATAAAACTACACACCATAAAAAAATTTTAAAAAACTGTAGCCAGTAATCGAAGAGCAAGGTACCCAATTACATGAACGTTCTCCATGAATAGAGTGGGTCACTCCAAGACCTGCTGAAAAAGCCTGAAGAGTTCACTTAGAAAATTACAGCTTGCTCTACTATATCCAAACACATGGCTTTCCTCATGATTATTAAAAAGAACATGGTGGCTTGCATCAATTCCAGTTTTCTGCAGAATAACACAGAATGCGGTAGTTTGGAGTAAAGGGATGGACGCTCTCAATTAGCCCTAAAAATTGCAAGCACACAATTCGTAATCTATGTGACAAGAAATAGCATTGGATTCCCCCAAACTTGAAAAATGGATGTTGTATTTCCTGGAGCTTTGCTTGACAGCTGCGCCCGTCCCCCGAAAGTCTCCCATATGTTCTAAGCGGCCTAACTTTCAGGGGGAGACAACACATTTGCTGCAGCTCCCTTTGATTTTGAGACAATTAAATACAGTTAAATGTTATTCTACATTAACTGCTTTTTAAAAATTAAATGGCTACACACTCAACTGAAAGCAGAATGAAAAGAGCAATTCTTTTTTAATGATTCAGAGATATTTAACAAGTGGTATCCTCAAATGCAAATCTTTCCTCTCTTTTGCTTTATTGAAAATGCAAAAAAAAAGACCCAACTTTTAGTTCATTTAAAATCTCAATTTTTTGTATTTCAAATTTGCAAAGCCCACAAAAATTAAAAATAAAACGAAATACTGAACACTTACGATGACTCTAGAGTGTCATTTTTAATACTTTTTAAAAGATAATTTAAAATACTTTGAGGTAGCCAACTACTTAATCTTGTGGGACAGCACCATTCTCCACTGTTTCTAAGAAGAATTGTTCCTTAACACTAACAGGCTGGATTATTTTTGCTTTGATATTATTGAAATCACATTGCCAGCGTCATTGCTATGACGCTATGAATTATCTCTGTCTTTAAGACCCCCCCCCCAAAAAAAAACACCTATACCCATTTGGTAGGAAACCTGTGTGAAAAGAAAGACTGCCAACTCTAAGCTGAACTGAAGTCAGAGAAAACTAGTAAATCACTGCAGGCATTTGAAATGTTAGACATTAAACTTTTGGGGGGTTTTATATGAATCCTTTTTATGACAGTCAATATAACCTCTTCTGTGCCTGTTTCCGTTGCATGTAAGAGAGATTCCAGTCAAATGGCAAAACGCTTACTGCTGCCATTAAGGCCGACTTTATAGATCAGAGATGCGTCAGCATGTTAGCTTTAGCAGCAATGCCTCTTTTGTGTGAAACCTTATGGGCCTTGCAGGCACTCTCTCATTCTGACACTCATAAAACGTTCAAGTCCCCATATTTATTATTTAATTTTCTTCCTGTATTTAGCAACAGAGCACTTCAATATATGAATGAGTAGCCAAAAATTGACAGGCAAGCGTGAATGGGACTAATGAGTTTTAATAATACACATATTAGGAACTGCTAAAGGAAGTTTAATTAAGAAAAACAAGTTGAGCATGAAATTCGTTTTGGACCAAATATAATTTAAGTTACTGCTACAGAGGTAAAATCAAAAAACCACAGTGATACATCACAGGAAATAAAGTTACAGGCTGAGACTCAGATCTACCCAACATGGTTGACATCTTAGGACCTGCCTTTAACTTGATGAACTTGGGTTTGACTTATGAAATAGAAGAATATATATATTTTACAGTGTTTTCACTTTTCTCTGCTTCTGTCACAATTTTTGTTTAGTATTTTAACTATATATCTTTTTGACTATATATCTTTTTGGACATAAACTTGTTCCCTCGAGACAGGCCGCACAGTAACCTCTTCTTTTTCTGCAGTCTGCCTTTCTAATACCACATATGTCTGCAGTTAGAGCTACCTGCTGAAGCCCTTTGGGTGTCTGTAAGTGGGTTTTCAATAAGAAGTATCCTATGTACCACTTAACCTGCACCTAGAATTCTGTTTAATTTTTGGAATAACCTAGAAAATAAGTAGTTTTGTTTATTTGCTTGCTTGCTTATTTATTTGGTAGTGGCAATGTGTTGGGGGGGCAGAAGTTGAGGAGGAGACAATATCAAGCAAGTATTTTACTAGAATGTGGTTTCCTTACTTGTTGTCTGTATCTAAATAACAGGTAAATTCTGAGAAGAGTGAAAAAATCAGGCAGTAATTTGGAGGCCTTATATATGTTTCTCAACAACCGCCTTTTTGGAAACATCCAACTGATGTACAATTTATCTTTATGCAAATTTTTGACATCACTTGTGTGTAACAGTTGTTTTTACTTCCTTGACACACCCAATGAATGTTGAGTCTTCAGAAAAGAATAAATAATTGTAATATTTCAAAGTGAATGA